CCATTAAGGGTGTGATGAAATTCGGAAAGAAGGGCAAGTTGAGCCCTAGTTATATCGGGCCCTTTGAAATTCTTGAGAGAGTGGGTAAGGTGGCCTATAAGCTGGCATTGCCACCCATTTTATCAATAGTCTATCCGGTGTACCATGTGTCTATGCTCCGGAAGTATCACGGGGATTTATCCCATGTGTTAGATTTTATATCAGTTCAATTGCACAAGGATTTGACTTATGAGGAGGAGCCGGTGGCTATTCTAGCCCGGCGGGTCTAGCAGTTGAGGTCTAAGAGTTATCCTTTAGTTCGAGTGCAGTGGAGAAGTCATCCAATCGAGACATCCACGTGGGATTCCGAGTCGGATATGCGGAGTAGGTATCCACACCTTTTCACCAGTCCAAGTACCTTTCTATGTCCGTTCGAGGACGAATGTCTATTTTAGAGGTGGAGAATGTGATGACCTGATAGGCCATTTATAGTTTTACCTTTCATTTTTGTGTTCCGAGATCTCGAATAGCTCCATTTAGCCTACATCGATTTACGTGTTGCAGTCCGTGTCCTCTTTCTAAAAAGTTTTTATGAGAAAATTGATGAAAATATGGAATCGTACCTTAAAATTCATTTAAGTTAACTTTGGTCAACGTTTTGTGTCCCGGTGGGTCCGTACCGTGATATGGGACTTGGGCGTATGCCTAGAATTGAATTCGGATGTCCCTAGCTTGAACTGATGTAGTTTGTTGAAAACTAGAAATTTAAAGGTTTAAAGAATTTCTAAGTTTGACTGTAGGTTGACTTTATTGCTACCAGGTTCGGATATCAGTTTCGGAACTTGGTATAGGTTTATTTCAGTATTTATGACTTGTCTGCAAAATTTGGTGCAAAACGGAGTTGATTTGACGTGATTCGAACGTCTGGTTGTAAAGTTGCATGTTCTTAAGTTTCTTTGAAAATTCCATCCGTTTTGGTGTCTGATTCATAGTTCTAGGTGTTATTTTGGTGTTTTGATCGCGCGATCAAGTTCGTATGATGTTATTACACTTGTGTGCATATTTGGTGGAGCCCCGAGGGCTCGGGTGAGTTTTGGACGCGTGGTGGAGTGTTTGAAAGAGTTAGGATTTTTGCTAGTACATGCACAGGCCTCAGACCTTGCAATTGCGAGGTTAGAATCGCATTTGCAATAGTAGAGGGGCCCTGTCAGCTTCGCATTTGCGAACAATTTCTTCGCATTAGCGAAAGGGTACTCAGGTAGGCTAGTTCGCATTTGCGGTTTTCCAGTGTTTGCAATTGTGAACAATTCATCGCAATTGAGATGAAAGTAGAGATGGAGTGTCTTTGCATTTGTGAAGGATTTCTCGCATTTGCGGGGTTCACAAATGGTCGCTTTTGTGACATCTGCGCCTGGACAAAAAGAGGGCAAGGCGGGATTTAGCTCATTTTTCACAAACTCTCAACCCTAAACACTTTAGAGGCGATTTTTCCAAGAGATTTTCTTCCTAAATTCATTGGTAAGTGACTTTAATCTATTTCTTTTCAATTAACCATTACATTTCATAAGTTTTTAACATCAAATCTAGGATTTTCATGGTAGAAATTAGGGGCTTGGGCAGAATTAAGAATTTTTGTAAATATGGAATTTAGATCTCGAATTGAGGTTGGATTTCGAAACTAATTACATAACCGGGCTCGGGGGTGAATGGGTAATCGGGTTTTGGTTCGAATCTCGAGTTTTGATCAAGTGTGCCAGGGTTGACTTTTGTTGACTTTTTGGAAAAAGCGTAAAGATCTTAGCTTTATGTATTGTAATTGACGTCCCTGGCATTGTTTGTTGATATGAAGTCGATTTTGGTTAGATTCGGTTGGTTCAGAGCCAAATTTTAGAGGAAAGGCCCCAGTTGAGCTTTGATTTGCTTGCAGAGCGAGATAATGTTGGGTCTAACCTTGACTTGAGCGAATTAGGAACCCTTTGAAATATGTGATGTGTGAATTACATGTGTGGCGTATACGGTGCCAAAGTAATTGTTTCCATGCTTTTCCCGTATTTCGTTAGTTATTTTATTCCATGTCTTAATTGTTGCATGTTTTAAATTGCTTCTTATGCCTTAACTTGCTACTTGTCACTTATTAGTTTAGTATTAGAATGTTCATTTTTCCCATGCTTCCATGATTAATTGCTACTTGCCTTAATTGTCCTATTTGTACACTTTAATTATTTTGTATTTGGCTTGTCTTGTTGCTTTGTATCAATTGTAGCATTCTTTGATTTGGTACGAGGTTCCCTTATGGCTTTGCTTTCATATTCTTTAATTGTAGTGATTCTTGAGATTCGAGTTGTTGAGTTGATTTCATTTATTGATTTTGTTTATGGATTGGGTTGTATGCCGCAACGGGTGAAATAAGAGGATTGATATTATTTGGTGGGATCGGATTGCATGCCGCAACAGATTTTATATTTAATTTTGGCATGGTGAAATGAGGGAGGATTATGATATTGATTCTGATTATATGGTGGGATCGGGTTGCGTGCCGCAACGAATTTTTACTTGTTATTCTTAATATTGAAACGATGAAATAAGGTAGGATATTGAGTTGTACGGTGGGATCGGGTTGCGCGCCGCAAAGGATTGTCTGTTTTGTATTCATTGTTGTATTGTGTTAGCTTTCAGTATTTTCATACGAGATTCTGAGGACGAATGTTTTTGGTTTTACTGGTTTCGAGGATTGAGTTTATTTTCATCACTTAATTGCCTTACTTTTCATGCGCTCTCTTCTGTTATTATTATTATATTGCGTACAGGTTATGATAAGTGACTCGCCTTAGCCTCGTCACTACTTCGTTGAGGTTAGGCTCGACACTTCTTGTGCAGATTTTGGAATCGGTCCTGGCGGTGGTCAATATATTGCTCGGATTGGTATTCCGATGGAGACTTGAGGTATAATTGTTCGGCCTCGTAACCCTGAAGTCCCCTTCTACCTTATCCTAGCTGTTTATTTCATTTCAGACAGTTTTACTTTCATTCAGACCATTATTTATATATTTCTAGTCGTTCGTGCACTTGTGACACCAATTCTAGGATTGTACCTAGATATTGTTGTTATTATGGGTTTTCGCACTCTATTTTAGTTTCATTTCAGTTTACTCGGTATTAGTTAATTTGAATGGTAAAAATGGATGAAAACTATTCTAACGTTTGCTTTCCTAGCAAGTGAAATGTTAAGCACCATCACGGTCCCGGGGGTGGAAATTCTTGGTCATAACAACACCGTATAGGTGCGGGGTGGATGAAATGGAGGCTAGCATTGAGCTTCCTGTGTGACAAGAATGTGCCACCAAAATATAAGGGTCAGTTCTACAAGGCAACGGTTAGATCGGCTATGTTGTATGGGGCAGAATGCTGGTCAGTCAAGAACTCCCATATCTAAAAGATGAACGTAGCCGAAATGAGGATGTTGCGATGGATTGTGGGGGGCACACAAGGTTGGACAAGATTAGGAATGAGGATATTCGGGAGAAAGTGGGTGTGGTTCCTTTGGAAGATAAGATGTGTGAAGTGAGGCTTAGATGGTTTGGGTATGTGAGAAGGAGAAGCCTAGATGCCCCACTGAGGAGATGTGAACGGCTGGCATAGGCAGGTAGGAGAAGAGATAAAGGGCGGCCTAAGAAGTACTGGGAGTGGTGATCAGGCATAACATGGCACGACTTTAGCTTACGGAGGACATGGCCCTTGACAAGAGGGTATGGAGGTCGAATATTAGGGTAGAAGGGTAATAGGTCGTCGTGTATTTTTCTGATATGTTCCAGGTTTATTAGGGCTAGATGACTAGTACATTGTCTTCGATTCTTAGAATGCCAGTATTAGGGTTGTTTTAGTACTATCTTCTTCGGTTTTCTAGTACCCTATCGTGTTACTGTTTGTGGCTATTGCTATTGCTACTGCTTTCTTCGATTTTCTAGTGCCCTGGCCTTGTTGTTGTTATTTACTGGTTCCTATTCTTCCTCTCGAGCCGAAGGTCTTTCTGAAATAGCTTCTTTGCCCTCTTGGGTATGGGTAAGGTCTGCGTACACATTACCCTCCTCATACCCCACTTGTAGGATCCCACTGAGTTGTTGTTGCTGCTGAAGAGCCAGAAATTGAAAGTTGTCTAAATGCATAATTGTACATAAAGCTGAGGTAGTACTACAGATTAGAAAGGAAATTGTAGAAAGACTAGATTTAATTTTAAAAATTTAAAGAAAGCACGTAGGCATAGAAGTTTAACTCAACGCTTACTTTGTAACTAGATTTCATTGTTTTGTTTGAAGCCCAACTCCTGCTCTCGGAAGTAGGTGCTTTTTATGCGCATTGTTTTTTTAGTTGTTAACGGTAATTATTTTTAATGCTGTTACAAAAAAATTACAATATACTATAAAACTTTACGTAATTCATATTTTTACCTATTAAATTTGTAAAAAAGTCCAAATCCACCGTTAAATTTTGATTTACTGGAACTTTTGCTTAAACGCAAACCATCAATTCTTCTATCATATCTATCTACGAATTTAGTCTTTCATTCTATCAATAAAAATTTGTTTAAAAAAACCTTATTGTCACAAAACATATTATATATGTTCTTTACTTATACCGAAGCTTCAACTGAGGCAGCTTAGTAATTCGAGCTATACACCGTAGATGCTAAAGCCTAAACACCCCTCTAATACTGATTGGGAAAACAAATCTATACAATAGCTGTTCAGTATACTATGTCGGCTTAATTTTTACAAAGGCCAAAGCATATTAACCACGTTTCAATCCCAACTAAAGTTAGAATAAACTATATGAATCATCTAAAATAATTGTCATTCGGGTACATGTCATCCCAAAGTATATCAACATCGACTACAACAACAATAACAAAAATCCCAATATAATCTCACAAATAGAATCTGGTAGTGTGTGCGCAACCTTACCCCTACCTTGAAAAGGTAGAGAATCTCTTTTCGATAAATTCGGATCAAGAAAAGATATCAATATCAAATAAAGTATCGTAAATTTATTAATCACAATCGTTGAATGCCAAATCAACAAATACACTCTTCCTTGGAAATCAACTGCATTAAAGAATATATGCTCAGATATTCTCTTACTATAGTAGCTCATCTTGTTCATCGGTACAGACTAATATCCTCCTACACAATAGATCAATCATTTAGCCTTTACAGATTTCCATGTTTCCTAATATATTAGATGTATTCATCAACAATTCAAAATTAACATATTCATACCCTGCTTTCAGTTTTAACATCAAGTCTATTGCTTCAATCCTTAAGGTTTAATGCTTTTAGCAGCACTCCACCATTGCTGTCTTTCAGCTCGCTTAAGGTGACTCATAGTACTGTCACATGCTATTGGAAACGGAATTTTATTGCTTAAATTAATCCGCAACGCGCGGGGGGCGGGGNCAAATGAGATAAAGTACGCGAATCCTAACACATATAAGGTCTTACTTGAGTTCGTCAGAAATATACCCGTCCTAGTACTACACTTATTATGTAACCAACAAGGTCATATCAACCTTCTTTTGTCACGCATTTCCAGCTTTACGGTCAAGCAAAACCCTTCTCCCCACACCCACAACTCGGCAATAAAAAACAACAAAAAGGATAAGGAAGAAAAAATGCACTAAAAGCTCAAAATATCTTAACAGAGACTTTAATAAAAGAGATTCTCAGTTCCATCACAACACACATGGAAGGTACACGTAAATCATAGACCTTGCCAAAATAAATGGAAAGATCAAATTACTCCTCTTTCCTAGGCCAACTAGAAAAGCAGATAAAAAAGACGCTGGTAAACTGGTGCACCATTAAGTATTTAATATATTCTAAGCTATAGCAAACCAGCCTTATCGATAGTGAAAGACACGAAAAGCTATCTTGGATATTGCTGAAATGAGTAAAATGACATATATTAGTGAACAACGGAAAACTAACCGATTTGCTGCACTTCTTATTTTATCGCGAACACCTTGATTAACAACTGCTGTCTGTCCTAATGATAAATTTCCAACAAGAATCAGAGAGGCTCCAGTAACACTTGTACCCATTCCCTGTGCGAAGACAGAAAGTGCCCATTCACGAAGTAAAGTCAGCACGGAACGCAGGAGACGCAATCTAAGATTTGGAGAGGGCAACACTGCCCCACTGGATAACAGCTGGTCATAGGTATTTAATACAGGCTCTACTGCACCCTTGCAAGCAGCTAAAAGGGCCCTTGGAATATCTTCATCTCCGACAGATTCAACACCAGAAACCACTCGCTCCTTTGCAGTATTTAAAGAATCAATTAAGAAATTAAATTCCAAAATGAAGAGCTGTACTAATTGAAAGCAAAGGAACTAACAGAGTAGAAATGGGCAAGAGTAGCTCAAAGGGGGAAATAGCCCATACCTGTGCAGCCTTCTCAAGGTGAAGACAAAGAGTATCCAATGGTAAAACAGCTCCATCTCCGGGATACACCTGGGAACCAACCCTCTTCAGTACAGCACAAGCTTCAGCAATCCCACCCCTTGTAAGAGCTTGATCAATGAGCCTAGCCCAAGTCTCTCGCACTATGCTGCTATCAGCATCACCAGAGTAGCTAGCAAAGTACAACATCTCCAGACATATCTGCAAGCCAGAAACAAGAAAAACATGGGTCAGTTGCCTGAACTTGGAGAATTAACAATGTTGACAAAACTGAACAATCTTTTTATGTTCAAGCAGATGAAAGTGATCCAAAAGTACATTTTGTTAAGTTGATGGCTTAACCTTTCTCTTTGACTTTTTTGGGGAGGCTACTTGACTACATTCAAATTAATTAAAGAAAAACTTTGCGCATTAAACAATATGTCCTACTACATTGCCAATGATGTATGAAGGATAGCATGTAAAATTAAGAATGAATTGCCAAATCCTTGACATGAAGATTTTCCTTCTTTAAATCCAAAGAAGAGTGAAGGAAAAGGAGGGGATGACTGGAAATGGCTGAAGAACTCTGGTAGCATTCACACAAGCTGAAACGTTACGATTTACAAACCGTGACTTTTGGATATGACCTTTGAGTTGTCCTTTCACATAGCTGCGCAGAAGCTCATATAGATGCATATATGGCTCTTCGACTCTTCCAAACAGGAAATTTTGTATTAAAAAGGTTACAAATAGCAGAACTTGGTATTCTATTGCTCTTATTAGTTTTAAAAAATCCAGAAATCACCTCTGTAGTCTAACTTGTTTGCAATTCCTATATAAAATCACTTTCTGAAATATACCCATGCAGAATAGCCGTCTTCGAGTTCTAGAGTTATCTTGTCTACCAGAACATTTATGACAAACAAAAAGGGTACAGCATATAGTATGAGTTCTTTAAGAAAACAGAAAAGATCATTCATAAAGTAGAGCATGTTTACAAATGGGTGTCGATTGTTTCATACCTCCCAAAGTTCAAAGGGAACAGCATAGTCATTATACAGCTGAGTAATGCTCTTCAACTCCATTGACAACTCCTTGGCCTTTTCTCGGAGAATGCGCATAAAGTTGGGATCAGCAGAGTTACTCATATTGGGTGATGTTTCATTGGAGCCAGATTCAGATGTGCCTGTAGATGCCTCCAACCTGGAAGCCATAGCCTCCAGTTCATCTTTAATCTTTATTTGAAACTGAAGAACAGAAAGCTTTCCTTCGAGCAAATCCAGTAGCCCATTATCAAGAGCACCCCGGCCAGAACCACTCATACCATCCGTGTCACTGGCACTCTTTGCTTGCAAAACAGCATTACTCAAGTATTGCCGCCTGTCATTACCCAAATTAGACAGCAAACTCTGGTCTGACAACAAATTTCTATGGACTAATGCAAAAAAGTATTTTCTCCATCCAAAATATGCATAGCATACTTTTCATTTCCATTACATCCCAAAAGTGTTTAATAACATTCCACTAACAATATGATTTTATACAGCTTTTAGCCTTTCACAAGAAAACTTGCCTCAATCCCAAGTGCGTTGGAGTCGGCTATATGAATTCTTGCTGACCAAGTCTCCATTTCAGCTAATCTCAGAACAGCTTTCACAAGTTTCAAGAATTTAATTCCATTTTACTAACCATATTTACACTTTATATTTAAACTTTACTATGAGGTTTTATTGCCAGAAGATGAAAGTAGCAGAAATGAGGATGTTGGGGTAGATGTGCAGTCACACTAGGATGGATGAGATTAGTAATGAAGATATTCGGGAGAAGGTTGGCGTGGCTCCCATGGATGACAAGATGCGGGAAGCGAGGCTCAAATGGTTCAGGCACGTACGTACAGAGGAGAAGCCCAGATGCCCTGGTAAGGAGGTGCGAGCGGGTGGCGTTAGTGGGTACGAGGAGAGGTAGAGGGCGGCCTAAAAAGTATTGGGGAGAGGTAATCAGGCAGGATATGGCAAGGCTTCAAATCTCCGAGGACATGGCCCTCGATAGGAAGCTGTGGAGGTCGAGCATTAAGGTTGTAGGTTAGGAGGTAGTTGAGCATATTTCTATCTCGTACCAGTGTGAGGCTAGTCTGATAGGATTTTGTCTTAGACTGCTAGTGGTCAATGTTGTGTTCACACAATTCTTTCGTTTTCATAGCGTCGGGCCTTATTTACTGGTTATTGTTTTTGCTTTTCATGTATTTACTGGTTCTTCTAATGTTGTTATTATTTCTATGGTTTTTGTTGATGGTATTGATATATTGTTTCTTTACGTCTTCTTAAGCCGGGGGTCTATCGAAAACAGCCTCTCTAGCCTCTCGGGGTAGAGGTAAGGCCTGCGTACACACTACCTTCCCCAGACCCCACTTGTGGGATTTTGCTGGGTATGGAGCCTTTCTTTCAATCTTCTAGCAAATTAAGATTGTATGTGATGTATTTCCTATGTCTTTTTATCACTGTAAGAAAAGACTTGAGCCGTCAGTAGATTTTAGTTCTTCAGATGAGATCTTCTTTTGTATTTTTGTATTCAACTTAATTAAGTTCTGTCAGCATTATATTTGTATAACTTGCTGGTATTTTATTTTAGTTCTTCTGTATGAGATTATTGGTCTTGTATCCTTCGTTAGTGTTCATAATATATGGGTTGTAGTGCCTTACATGGATGGAGGTCCTTGTATCCATGATGCTCATCCTGATGATTTTGAAGAAACAGTTATTGCAATAATTTTCTTTGAAGTACTAAGGGTTTATAATATCTTCATCATTATGGACGCATTCGTCGCGATCTTAAAGTAAGTTTGAGCCTTAGTTAAATCCATTACAAGTTACATATGCTTTATATTAAAAGAAGTCTGTAACTTTGTTACTTTGGAAACACTACATTTGGAGGAGAGTTGGATTAGTACTTGGGCTATTTGATATAGACTAATAGAAACATTCTCCACTTGATCCGTTAGTCAAAGCCAATATAATGTCATAGTCTTCTTCAGTTACTCAAAATGTTAGCACGTTTTCCCCTTTCATATAATAAACAAAAACACCAATATTTCTAGATAGAATAGAGGGCAATTCGTCGAAGCCAATATGAGTGAGGAATCGATTTCATGCAAGAATTCTATTCGATTCATTGTTTTTTCTTTTTTCTTTTTATTTTTAAGTGAATTGAACTTCTTTGTTGTATTCTTTTACATTATACCGTTTTGTCTTCTTTTTGTTCTTTTTTGATAATTTGAATAAATTTTCTTGACATCTGACAATTTTTCTGAAATAAATTGGTAGAGAGAAATAAGCAAAAAAGGATTATCAAAAAAGGAAAATGTAAAAGACGAAAAAAAGTGTAGTTTCACCTATATGGATTATTAAAAATTCTATAATATTAAAATCGATTACAACTTGAAATCTAATACATTCAAACTAAAATATTTCTGATATTTGGGTATTACGAAAAGATTAATTAAGTTTTGTAACCGCGCAAAGCGCGGATAAATTCACTAGTTATTATTATATATGTATACGGGTTTTGCTAACCTACAACAAGGTTGTAGTAGAAGCCATTCACCTTGTGAGACGATTGGTGAAGCAATATAGGGAGAGGAAAAAGGACTTGCACATGGTGTCAATTGACCTTGAGAAGGCTTATGACAAAGTCCCGAGGGAGGTGCGATGGAGATGTTTCGAGGTTAGCGAAGTCCCTGATAGCGTACATTAGGGTGATTTAAGGACATGTACAAGGGTGCTAAGACTCAGATGAGGACTGCGAGAGGAGACTCGGAACATTTTCCTGTGGAAATGGGATTGAATCAAGAATCGTCCCTTAGCCCGATTTTGTTTGCCCTAGCGTTGGATGTGTCGACACGACACATACAAGGGAGGTGTCATGGTGTATGTTATTTGCTGATGACATAGTACTGATTGACGAGACGCGAGGGGGTATTAATGCTAGGTTGGAAGTTTGGAAACAGACACCGGAGTCCAAAGGGTTTAAGTTGAGTAGGCCGAAAACTGAATATTTGAAGTACAAGTTCAATGATGAGAGGCATGAAGATGAAGTGGAAGTAAACATTGATACTCAAGTCATTCCCAAAAGAGATAGTTTCAAGCATCTTGGGTCTATAATCCAAGATAACGGGGAGATTGACAAAGATGTTACACACCAAATTGGAGCCGGTTGGATGAGATGGAGGCTAGCTTCGGGTGTTTTATGCGATAAGAGTGTGCCGCCTGGACTTAAGGGCAAATTCCACAGGGTAGTGGTTAGACCGGCTATGTTGTATGGAGCTGAGTGTTGGCCCGGTCAAGAAGTCCCATATCCAGAAGATGAGAGTAGTTGAAATGAGGATGTTGAGATGGATGTGTGGACATACCAGGAAAGCCAAGATTAGGAATGAAGTTATTAGGGACAAGGTGGGAGTGGCATCCGTGGAAGACAAGTTGCGGGAATCAAGGTTGCGATGGTTTGAGCATGTGAGGAGGAAGGACATAAATGCCCCGGTCAGGAGGTGTGAGAGGCTGACCATAGCGAGCCTGAGGAAGGGCAGAGGTAGGCCACAGAAGTATTGGAGAGAGGAGATTAGGCAGGACTTGTCGATGCTTCACCTAACCGAGGACATGACTAGCGATAAGAAGGTATGGAGATTGAGGATTAAGGTGGTGGGTTGATAGGTAGTTGTGAGTCTCTCCTAGGTTTACCAGTAGTACTAGTAATATTCTTGTTGTTGGTTGAAAGATACTTCTTCTAGCTTGTTATTATATCTGGTACTTAGCAACCACGTCCATTGTTTTTGAAATTGCTACTGAAATTGTTGCTCCCTGATTGTTACTATTTGATGCTACTTTCCCCCCTTTTTCCTCATCGTCTTTTGTCTCCCTCTTCTTTCTTTCTTCTTCCTATCTCTTCTTTCCTTTTCTTTCTATCCACCTTTTCTTGAACCGAGGGTGTATGAAAACTGCCTCTCTACCTCCCCGGGTAGGGGTAAGGTCTGCGTACACTCTACCCTCCCCAGACCCCACCTGTGGAATTATACTGGGCATGTTGTTGTTGTTACTACTACATGGGTATAGTAGGTTAGCATTGTATACATCCTTTATTTCTCTCTTATGCCCCTAGAAGCACCCTAACAACATATTAGTATGAGGGACTTTATTATCTTTTTGTCCAAAAACAAAGCCTATCTAATTCTTATTCTCCCTCTTTTCTTTTCTTTTCTTCTCACGTCAATGCTGAGACCACAAGGAGAAACATAAACTGATAAATGGCTGCTACCTAAAGACAAAACGGGAAATAGAATATCATTAGGACAAATGGTCTTTACTTTCTCCCTCATTAATGTCATCCCCTTTCGGTTCTCTCAGAAGAAGCTTCAGCAATCAGATTAATATAAAATCAGATTCGGACAGCACTAACCCGTCATTTGATGATTTTATCAGACCTAAAATTGCTATGGCATTCTGGTATCACAGATAAGAGAGTGGGGATGGGAAGATGAAAGATTGTATACTGGGTTCTCTTATTAAGATGGGTGACAATTTGTGAAGAAGTATTGCTTCAGTTGCACAGATTGTTAAATTCTTTTTTGTTAAGGTAATAAATTTATTAAAAATGGTAAGAACATGCTCGTATACAAGTTAGTATACCAAAAAGTAGAAAACCTTACAAGAGGACATAGTTTTCTACAAATGACACCCCATCTTCTATACAAATAGGAACCTCGTGGGTGCACCAAAAACAAATAAGGGAAAAGAGGTTACTCCTCAAGTGTACAAGATCTTTCTCTGCTCCATCAAAAGCTCTCCTACTCCTCTCACTCCAAACAACCCACATGAGTACTAGAGGAGCAACATTCCATGTCCTACATCTTCTCTTCATTCTTCCGAAGGCCCAACTAAACACAGATTGTTAAATTCTTGTGGGCCCATTGCATGATGATAGAAGGAGAAAGAAAGAAAGAAAGAAAGGGAGAGAGCTTATCAATTTCTATTTCTTGAGTGTCTATGGTGTTGGTGGAGAGGATGGAGGAGGAGAGATTCTGAAGAAAGAGAAGCTGGAAAGTGGGGGATAGGGGCGCAAAATTGTGATGGGTTTTAATTTTTGCTAGAAAGAAGAAAAAAGAGTCTCCTAGTAATGACTGCCAATTAGTGTTAGGGGTATTTAAGTAAAACAAAAGATGTATACAATGCATACAATGCTAACCTACTACAATCATGTAGTTGGTTTGCAAAACCAATACACACACTCTTTTCACATCTATTTTATTTGGTATATGATGTTGACATGAGTTGAGCCTAAATGGGAAATGAGGATTCATATAGCCGACCCTAACTAGTTTGGGACTGAGGTGTAGTTGTTGCTGTATGCAGGAAATTGCAAAATTATGTTAAGGCGTAAATGAAACAATCAAGCAAGATTATGAATAGATAACATCAGCCTTCTATTTCAATTTTTCACACAGCTAGATATTAAGTGCAGGCCGCACACCTATCATTCTGGGAGGGTTGAAGCAGCATAACAGTGTGACGTTAAGAATAAGCTTCTTTCCTTTGTGCCTTCACACAATTAACTCACCCAACTTAAGCTCAATCCTAGAAAAATGACATCAATATTTATTAGGTCAGTTGAAATAAGAACCTTTGCTCTAAAGTAGGAGCATCCCCTGCATCAGTGGAGCGCCTTTCTGCCAGTCTCACCAAAACATGGGCTGCAAGAACATGCTGCCGCTTCAAAACATAAAAACGAGCCAAAAGCTCGAAATATTTTGCTTGGTTGGATGCCACAGGTACTCTAGCATGAGCCAAAGGTGAAATTGGAGATGCCACAGCAGAAGCAGCACGAACCTGCGAAACAAAGTGAAGAAAATGAAGAAACGGAAAGAACCGATGCTCAGGAAATTGGTCGCATAAAAATGGAAAAAAGTTAATGTAAGCTGGTTGATAGTAATGTGTTGAAGAACTCGAAAAGCATCAATACTGAGGATCACAAATGAGAAGAATATGCATTATAGAAATAGAAAACTACAATAAACTGCTGCTAGCTTGATTGTAGGAGGCTTAATTGTAGAAGAAGATTTGATTTAGGAGATTTTATTCTACTGTAATTGATTTGTTGTAATTGTTGTAATTGATTTCCTTCCCTAAATTAGTCATAGGACCTTTTGTACAAGTAACTCTTGCTCAATGTATGTAAATATATACAGAAAATACCGCCTTCATGAAATCTTCATAAACAAACCTCATTTGTAGGTTCACGGCCAGAATTTTGCAGAAAAGGCACCAAATCGGGGCCGCCATATTCCAGTAGTTCATCTTCCAGGCCCGAATCGATTAAGGTTCGATACAGATAGTGATGAAAAACTCTGTCCAAAGATTGCACACCAAGTTGGACAATCTGGCATATATACTTTTTCCGAGAAGCTTGATCAAGAGTAGATTGAGCGACAGGTCTGATAGGAGATCCAAATTCCCTCTTTGAAGCTTCACCTTTTAGAGAATGCAAAGCACTGGCAATAATCTCATAGCACTGCTCACGTTGAGCAAGTGCATGATCTCGAATTCCATCATCTATTTGCTCATTAAAAGCATCACCAGCAGGGTCAAGAGCTTGTGCCTTTTGCAGAGGTAATAGGACCACGGCTTCATAAAATCTGCAATATCATAGCATGCTAAGCACAAGGCCACTAATCTAGGTAATGAACAAAACTGATTCTAGATAAAGGTGAAAGATGGATCTAAATGAACTGACCTCAGGTCTTCAAAACGTTTACATACAGTCCGCAGATCTGCAGACTCTGGGACTTTGCTTAGGTAATTGAATGCCTCTCTAGCGAGGTTTTCTCTCTCCGCTGTGTCTAATGTAGCAGCAGCTCTTTCAAGAGATTCAACTGCTAAGTAGAACTTGTAATCAGATTCCTTGTAATAGCTTGAACAACCCTCTCGTAGTCTACCACTTATGTCGTCAACAGTTCCCCTGCCATCTGGACCAGTGTAATGCTGGAGAAGAAGATAAATAATACTTGAAGAAACATGCCTCAAGTGCAAGAAATAACACACTAATATGGAAATCTAAGAATTTTTCCCTTTGCAAGCAAGCAACTATCTAATGCCAAACTGGAAATCACCCGCATCTGAAAATGAAGAATTTTGTAGTGCATGTTAAAGTACCTCCATGAGGGCAGATACAAGTCTCGTAGCAAGTCTGTCTCCCTCTTCTGAACAAACTAGTTGATGGAATGTCAACTGGACTAAGGCCTGCTTGATATTGGCATCAAAATTCTGAATCAAGCGTGTCACGTGATGTTGTGCAAGAAGTTGCAGCAAAAATAGGGCTTCGCCACATCGAAGGAGCAACTGCCTGATACACTCCATTGCTCTAACCTGTAAAACAATTCGATACATTTTGCAAGTGAGTTATGCCTAGGGATTAAGGAGAACCAATTCTTTAAAAGATTTACCTCCATGGCAGCAAGTTCAGCAGAACTATAAGGAAGCCGTTGCCTTTTGTTTGATGCTCCACCTTCGTTGGAAGCAGGAGATCCAAATAGATTTCTTACCATACTTCTGTCACCAGCCCCAAAATCCGAGCCAGTTCCAATCAAAATTGATCCAGTCAGGTCACCTAGGCCAGCAACACAACCATAAAGTCCCTTTCTCTGATTCCTCCTAGATTTAATGAGCTTCTCCAAAGAACGTATCTTGTCTTCAAGGATTTGCATTGCCTCACCAGGAAGTCGGCAGACAACTATTACATTGTCAGATGCGACTGAGGAATCTGTGCTTCCTTTTGTGATAAAAACAGGAAGCTCCCACAAAGGTAGAAGTAACCTTGATGAGCATAAGCAAAGACCTTCATGAGCACCGGAGAAAACGGGCTCAGCTTCCTGAACAACCTGGCCCATGCTAAATCCTCCAGCTGGAGCTCTAGTATTTGGAAATGCACCGCTACCTTCTAACTGCGGTACTCCAACAAGTCTTGGATCCTCATATGCTTCAGCTGCCCTCTCAGCTGCAACGTTACTTACTAAAGTCTCAGTATAGATTATCCTTGCGGCAAGCATTAAACACATGGCAGCAGACTCTCCAGATCCAAAACGACTAAAGAAATCCTCTAATAATGACCTAGGCGAATTAGATTCCAATAGCCTCCT